CAATGGAAAGAAAAAAAGAAAAGAAGGGGGGGGGGGGGGGGGGGGGGGGGGTAGGGGGGGGGTGGTGGTGGTGTACACTTGCAACCCCAGGTCTTGGAGATAGAGCAAGACAAATCTCTGTGAGTTAAAGGCTGGTCTGGTCTACATTGTCAGTTCGAGGCTAGCCAGAGCAATACAGTTGAGACCCTGTTATACTTTTACACACATACACACAGACACACACAGACACATACACACAAATACCCCCTTAACAACAATAAAACCTCCCAAAATAATAACAAGGCCCAGACTAAAGCTACACAAACTACACCTAGAGCCCTTTAAACCTTGTCCTAATTGGAATCTGGGCCCTTGCCACTCCCAATCCGTCATTTCTGAAGCCTTCCCAGAGGGAGGGTTCCCAGTAAAAAACTTTAGGCCATATAAGAGTGGTCTCAAAAGATGGATGGGAAAAGGTCCCTAAGGACTTGCTCGGAGGTAGTAAGGAGCGAAGGCTGAGCCTGCACAGTCATTTTGGCAAGAGTAATTAGGACAATAACTATATAATTAACTCTACATCTGTCAGTCTCCTCCACGGGCCACCCCTCCCCCAAGAACACAAACTCCAGGAAGCCAGCAATTACTCTGGTCACAGACTGAAGCCCAGCCCAACATCTGACACTTGGTAGCCTATTGGTAAATTCGAAAAAAAATCTGAATACAAGAGGCCCAAGGCTAAATCCCGGAAGGGGAGGGAAAAAAAAAAAAAAAAACCACCAACAACAAACACAAGACAAAAATGGAGGCCACCAGAGACCCCAACATTGTCTTCACCCGACTTGCTCATTCTTACCTGTCCGCTGCCGGGTTTGGACATGGTTTTCCGGGCTCGGTGTACTTTGGGCTGCCCCTCCTGGCCGGTAGTGGTTGCCGGAGGGGGTTCGGGCCCAGCAGTTGCAGCTCCCTGGGCCCCGGGCATGCTCAGCAGCCTCATGGCCAGACTCTGCACCGAGGGGGGCGACTTTCCTGCCCCAGTCACTGACATTTTGGCCCGACTGGGGCAGGCCCCCCCCTTGCTGGGGGAAGAGGGGAATGACTTTGTGGCATGGCCTAGAAGAGAGGCAGCAGGCAGGGGTGCGGGGTGGGGGAGCGGGCGGGGAAAGAGGGGGTCCCCCTTTCC